CAAGTCCCCGCAGTCTCCACTGCAATTGGCACAAAATCGTACATTGGTTCCAACGCGCTGTATTTTGTGTGTTTTAATTTTGCCGCATATTCCGCAGCTGATCCGGCAAATCTGGTGGTGTAGCGTCCCACAATAGGCATCGACCTCTCCGCCATGGAACCAATGTAAGACCGTCAGGCCTCTTGCCATCCGTACGGCACAACCCCGGAGGTTCCAAGACACAAGGCACGTTAGCCAACACCAAAGCCCGGCGAACTAAATCGTTAATCGCATGATGCCTTGAAAACCGCCCCGCGCACCTTTGACAACTGAGGCCGTGGTGGCCATTCTCCTCAACCATGACCCCACAAATGCAGTGATGCAGTTCACAAACCTTACATCCCAACCGTAAAGCAACTGCAATTCTCAAAGAGTCATTATCCAGCAGTGTGCCTAAATGGGGTGAAGGCAATGCCTGCAACCACGCTCCTGATTCAGGCTTAATTGCAGCCTTTAGACGTGCCACGTTATCACCCGATGCCTCACCTAATAGCGATGTAGTGATCTCCCTACACAAAACATCATCCCATCCTCTCTGGACGACGACATTATCCGGCCGCTCATCACCCGGACAAACAGTGGACCACCTGGTAAGGGCCTCGGCAAGAAAAGGTATCCGGGTATCGTCACCATTGAAGGGTAATATACGAGTGACTAGCCCCAAAGACCTATGACCCGAAGCCAAGAAAGCCACCAAACCGATCTCTCGACACCGACGTACCCCCAGTCCGCCATGACGAATTGGAAGAGCAGCTTGACACCACTGTGATTCAGTTAGATGAACATTTAATATAGACTCAAGTGATGACTTCAATGTGTCGTCCAGCCTTGCCACATCGTCCTCGAACAACCAACTAGGAGAAGTTCTCAGAATATACAGCACGCGTGGCATCGCAAAACAGCTCCGCAATAAAACAAGCGAGACGTGTGCCGACAAGTTGTCCAAATGTTCCTGAGCTCCAACCAATGCCAACCTTTTATCCTCAAGAGCCGCACTAACCCCTTCGGGAAAGCTGGGAGCGCCCAGTAAAGACAAAGATGATTTATGAAGTCGTCGCACACCTGGCACCAATAATTCCATGTCCGACAAAAAGCCCGATTCCACAGGACCACAACAATAAAGCTCACATTTGCTTGGGTTTATCTCCAAACCTATCGCCCTCAAAACGGGCACAAGGTTTTTTAAATCATTTAGCACCACTTGCGGGTTCCCACCAATCGTTCCATCATCCAAATACCATACGTTTAGGGGTGAATCCAAAGAAGAAATAACTTTCTGTATGGCTAGACAAAATATTAAAGGCCCCAAAGGATCGCCCTGCTGAGCCCCGACTTGCGAGCTTACACACTCATTGTCAAAGAATAACTTGCTGGCTGTGGAGTAACACTGATGAAGAAACGGATAAATGGATGGTACATGCAATTAGTTCCATCACGCCACTGCTAGATGGCATTAGTTGTACTCTGAAACGCGCTATCGTTTTGTTAACGTCAATAGTATAAAGTCATCTCATATATATATGGAATTGATAGTGCTTTCTGCCGCTGTAGCATTTATACGGCGCTGAATGGTCCTCAAGTATTTGAGAAGATTCCGTCCTATTTCTGCTACTTTAAGGTTTGGCACTGAACTGTATGCTTTCATGCTAGTGAGACATACTGTTGGGTCCATAACCCTGTAAATTTACCCTTTTTGATATTAGAAAAAATAAATCTTCAGTGAAATAATTAAGTACCTCTCAATTTTAATTTCTTTTTTTTTTCAAATCAAAATCGCACATTTCTAATAACAAACAAATATTTTGTTGAATCTAGAGTGGCTTTATGACTTGAAGTAAATTAATTTGCTCTTGGATTAAATATTTCTGTCTTGTAACTAAAATACACTTTTGAGACGTTTTTTTACTATTATCAAGTAATTATTCTCTAGCGTCTATAGGGAGAGGATCGTTTTGTTGGATTTAATAAATTTGTCTTTATAAAAAGAATTTTGTCTTTTTCTAAGTAATCTGTTTTTACCGTGTGGTTCGACCTTGTACATAGTATAATGAACTTTATGGTCAATAGTTTTAAATTACAAAATAGATACGAGCACAAATGTTCCGCGGAATGCACGAGCATTCTCGACGAGAATTCCGCGGAAGATTTTGGCTTGTACCTAGTCTGTACGTTACACAATTGACTATAAAATGCATTATGTTATGTACACGATTCTTTTATGGGGAACTGTATATACGTTTTTACAATAACATTCCGGAGAATATATTAAGATTATCATTTCCTAAGTTTAAAACCTCCATTAAAAGTATTTTATTGAAAAGTCATATTAAATATCTATTATATATATAATAATATATTATATAAAAGTCATATTACATATTTAAGTTTATTTGAAAAGAGCAATTCCTAGAGTTTCTTCCTCGTGCTTCTCAGGGAGGACATCGTAGTGAACGAGCAGTAGCTTAAAAATGACGTTTTCAAGTGTAAAAATTTTACCTATGGAATAAATGATTATGTGACTTTGACTTTGACTTTACAATTTCGTTACAAAAAATTCACTTCCATTCCGTTCCGCCGCAATATAAATTGAGCTTAATGGTTTGAGAAGCCGTGAAGCCGTACCGCGGGCTGAGACCTAAACCCTCGTCGGAGAAGAAACCCGTGTCCAGCAATGGGACGTATAAATGGATTGATGTTGTGGTTTTTCTACGGCCAAATCTTCTGTAGACCTTGATTTTACTTTGCAAAAAGTTTTTTTCACTTCTCATTACGTGCCCGAATGTTCTCGAACATGATATTGATTTTCTTTTTGTTTTTTTTTTCTTTAAACACACATATTATTAATTAATAAATTAAATATCCACAATCTGATTGGAGTGTAAATATGAACGAGGTTGCCTTACGCTCATCGTAGTCGACTAATTTTGCTGTGAGATGACATATTTTTTATCTCTATGCTAATATTTTGCATTGATAAATGTTTATGTTTACATTTAACCTGTGTTTTCCATAATCACAATGTGTCAGACGTGACAGTTGAATTGGAGGAAGGAAATTCTGAGATAATTGCTTTTTTCTGAGTAGTTGATAACCTTCCTGGGTTTTTTCATTAACTGGGATTCTTTATCGATTCTTTATTGAGCTGCATTTTGAATGGAGCAACATTTATTTACGAAAATTATTGTGTAAAAACGCTACATTAAGATTTTTCTGTAATAATGCTTTAACTCTACATAAATTAGGTCATAATTCAATAAAGTATAAAGTGCATGAAATTAAGAATTTAAAAAAAATATTTTTTAATTTATTTTTTTTTATAATTTTTCCGCGATTTCGAAGAGGTCCCTCTTTGAAATCGCGGAAAAACATCTTTTTCGTATTCATTTTATTGAATATCGTTTTATTTTATTTTTTAAACTACTCTACTACTTTGTTATTATTATATACAAAGGTCGAACAAACACAAAGAAATTTTTATTAAATCCGATTGGTCTCGAACCAGTATCTATTGCTTCACCGTGGCTGCCATTCATCTAAGCTACGATTGAATAAGATCTTACGATTTTATCTGCATGTTTGCTATAGATCTTTGTATTGAATTTAAAGGGTTTTTCGCCGTAGCGCCACCTGTTACGACCTTATGAAATTTTCTCTACCCAACCAGGAGATCCACGAAAATACATCACTACGTGACAACGAAGTTCATATTATGGCAGCTATCGTATCGAATTTTAACATTACTTTCATAGTAAAATTGACATGTGGAGTACGTATGAGCTTCGTTGTCACGTGGTATCGTATTTCGTGGTAGACCTCCTGGTACCTTTTTCTTACGCGATGCAGTCTTTAGAGAAAACCTTTGCACACGTTAACAAATTCAGTGGCGCCGCAAACGCGCTTCGAATGCGATCTCGCGTGTGTTTGTATCGCGTTTTACACGCGTTTGAAGCGATACAAATGCAACAATCTACTTTTTAAGGCTCTACAGCACCGTAATCGCGCGTTCGTGAAACGTGCATCGTCGGCGCGTATAAAACACGCCGTGTGCGTAGTCTCTTATCTTTGTCATACTTTAGGGTCGAATAGGTATTATCAGTTACTCTGAAACCGCAGATTTACTTCGCAATTAATTTACAATTAAAAGTAGTTTAATCTCATACCACTAAACATTTCAATGTAAGATGTCAGTTATCAAAAGAACTTTTAACCATATTTTTTATTATAATACTTTAGAGAATTAATTTACACGTCAATACACACAATTTTTACGCTGTGGATTCGATGGAAAATTGCGAAATAAAATTAGCTGTTATCTTATTAAATCTTTGTACCTTCTCAATCCAAATGGGCGGAATTTTTTATTTCACAATACCTTTTAAAGTATCGTGAAATAAAAAATTACATCGGTATTTCAAAAAAAAACCATGTTTAAACATAGAAAACGAAAACTAGTGTTCTTTACTTTTCAAAATAAATTTTGTTCTTTATTTGAATTATACATAATAATATTAACATAACTCAAGCGGAAGTTTATTGCTTGTTTTTGTAGACTAAGTAGATTCTACTGGGTCGGTTTTCTACGTTACTATGCGTTGAAAAGATCCGGCAAAAAAAATCGGCTGTTCAAAAATCAGCAGAATTATCTTTTATGGTCTGCGACAGGTTTTTTTACTTAATTTCGTTGTACACACTGACTTATTTACCGTAATTAGAATGACAGAACCGCATCATCCACAGGTACTTGTTTGCATAGTAAAGGTTATTTTTAACCGACTTAAAAAAAAGTACGAGGGTCTCAATTCGACTGTATGTATGTTACGCGATAACTCGGCATTTATGAACCGATTTTGATGATTTTTTTTGTTGGAAAGAAGATACCTCAGTAGAATAATTGTAATAATAAAACATCATAATATTCATTACAATCAATATGTCAAATTCAAATGTTTGTGATATTCCAGAGGACCACGCAAAAGGGTTGAGCACTTTTACGGTCATGGCCGGTCTCGGCGGATTCATGGGCTACGCACTCGGCGGTATCAACTGGGACAACACTAGAATAGGTTCGTGTTAGCGTAAGCTTATGTTGTTTTAAGGTACCATAGTGTGAATGGGGCTTCACTACTCCGTACGACGCTGTGTGCGGGGTGCCGGGAACGGTGACGCGCTCTTGGTTGGGGCGCGGGGCGCGGAGTGTTTTCGTGCGTGACTCGGTGTCCGTAACACGTGGGTTTGGATGTAATTTGTGGTTGTTTATTTGAGTATCAATGACATCCGCGGTACATCTTCCTATTGCGGGTCTATGAGTGTGTGCGTTGTTTATTTATTTTGTTATAATTTCTAGGCGTGTGCGAACTTCGTTGACGTTGCACTTGGAACCAGTCATTTTGTTATACATATATTCTGCCCTTCTAGTCATAGCTATGTACGTATAGTTAGTAGCAGTAGAGATACTTGTGAAAGAGTTCATACAGAGTAAGTAAGCTTACCTAATTCTATCGCGAAGCAGTAATGTGAGCTTTACATTCCGATTTTGAAGGGTAAGGGTGCTGGTAAAATTACAGGCACATAGGACTTTTCAACTTGCGCACGACTTCTTCGTCCCGTCTCTTGATATTATAAAAAAATATGCATTTACATTTCGGTCACTTTCGAGATATTGGCACCTAAGTTTGTTATTGCCAGTAAAAAATGTCAATTACGCTTATTTTGCTTAACAATAAAACTGTAACCAAATAAGAAATAAAAATATAAGTAATACGCTGGACCATACGACTATACAAATTTTAATACTCCATAACTAAGTGGTAGAAAAATTTAACCGCTCAACCACCAAAGTCATGTGACATAACGAGGAATGTAGTCGTTAAATGATTCAAATAGTCCTTGGACAATAAATAATACTGCGGCCAAATTCATTGGGGTCATCGCATTAGCTACGCAGCTACAAGGGGACCGATTCTGGTGCAACAGAAAAAATTACGCAGTAATTTCGAAAAAAAAAAATGGAGGACGTCGTTCACAATTCTTTTTTAAATTTAAAGCTGGACAATGGTCAGAGCCAATGGAGACCGGAATATTCCACGTTATAATAAGAGCGGTGGCATACGATGCGTTATGTCGGCGTTGCGATATTACTGCTACATATAAATGCCACATTGGGCGACGGAACGCGTGCGCATCAGAGGACAGTTATAAGTACGCGGGCGTACCGTTGTGACAACGTATTGCTCGTGTGGTATTCGGTGCGTTGAAATCTTAGGCCATGTCCAGATGAAACGAATTCGCCGCGAATCGTCTCGCGCGTACACACGCGTACGTTGCGTCAAGAAGAAGCGTGTGACGCGCTAGCGTTTGAGGACGTATTTAGTCTAGAGATGGGAAAAACTGCTTTTTTTAACGTTGTAGCTTTTTAAAAAGAGTGCTTTTATAAACCCTTTTTAGTTTGAAGGTTTAAAAAATCGTTTAAATAAACGTTTAAGCGCATAGACTTTTATGTTAAAAAGAGCTTACAACGTTGTGTTAATAGCGAAAAGCATAAGTAGACAACTAAAGGTTTTAAGATAAGTAAGTTTGTTTGTAAAACACGAGTTTTATTTTTATTTATAAAATTATTATTCACATTGACGAATTAATTTGTTTAGGAAACTTAAACGGTAGGACTTGAAACTTATGCACGTTGTAAAAAATGAACTTGTTGAGTATAGAACTAACCAACGACGCTTACGCTTAAAATAGAAAGCGTGCTTAAGTGCTTATTTTAAAAAGCAAACTTTTTAAAGTGTTTTTCGTCTAAACTGTAATTCAGTCAGTATTAAACATGGAGTTGGACGAAGCGGTCGAGTTGTTGTTAGTTTACCATCGCTAGAAGAGACGAAGACGGAGGGAAAGGAGAATGCACTTCATACATCCAATTTTTTATGAAAGAATGACACATAGCATATTCGTAACTTTGTATCATTTTAAAATTTTATTAGTGTACACAAAAGATGATTGCCGGTTTTTTTATTTTCTATTTCATCTTTTATGTTTCCGTATCAAAATTTTGCTGTTCCATTTCAGGTGCACTCGATTTGAAGTTCGCATGTAAAGTTTAAATTGTAAACTGAACATAACCAAGGAGTTTATAAAATATCGACTCGCGCGAGTCACACGTTAACGCAAGTCAAGAGTCTGACGTATTACACGCAATTTACTCGCGAATTTTAAACTCGTGTGATGCTTGTGGAGGCGATGTATAAGATTGCGGGGAGAATTCGCTCCTTCTGGACAAGATCTAGCGTTGCGACGGCGCAACGCACCGGCAGCGCCCATGTGGCATCGTTCTAAGTCGTACGAAAGACAAGATAGATGCGGCAATGGATATGACGAAATTTCCGCGTTTTCTCTTTAGACAAAGACAATTAGTTCGAAGCTGAAGTGGCACACCGATTTGTTTTGCTACATCCAGTGAGTTTAATCAAAACTGACTTAATAGATCTTAATTTGAGAGTAAAATTATTAGTTATATATCCTGAATACAAGCGGCAAAATAGAATGTACTAAAATAGAGATAACAAAATCACACTACCTACCTAAAGTTTTTTTTTTGCCTTTATCCTATTTCTTGCACTATAAACCGTCAGGCTAAAGGAAAAAGCGGCTTAATTATACGCTCGCACAATTCCGACCAAACATGAAATGATATAATGCAATACAAGTGTAGCGAATCGCAGCAGTTGCTACAAATCTCTTTTGTGTATCTATTTTGTAGTCTTTTTAACTTTAGTTTTATATTTAAATAAATTCTAAATTTAAATGTATATATTTTTGGCGCCTTTTCTTATTGTTCAGTCACTATTGTTCCTATTTTGATTGATAGCGGTGCGTTGTTTCGTTATAAACTGTGAGTATATTTACTTTGGTCTTGCTCACATTGTCACACGCGAGTGATATCTCCAACACTAGCCCGGAGAGCTAGTGGAGGATAAGCTAGATATCCTCCGATCCCTCCAGCTGATTAGGTTATTGAGAACTGGAGAGACGGCCTTTTTCGGCTTCGCGAAGTGAGCGTGCCTTACAGCTCCGCCACCAATGAGGAGACTTGGTAGTGGACTTAGAGTCGACGGCTTAGCGGTGGCAACTGCTAGTTGTGCAATACGCAACGGGAAGTGAGCATGCCTGCAGTTCTTCTACCTATCTAGAAAATAGGGAGGGTACTGTACGTGCAACCGGGGCGGCTCACCCGAGGCACTAGCCTCTCAAAGAACCGGATGTAGTCGAGTGACAGAGGTCTGTGACAACCCTGTACACTGGTAGATTCTCGTATACCCTAAGGGTCAGCAAGGAGAGTCATTATACTCAAAACTAATGTAGAAAGATATGGGGCTGGTCTTGCTCATTCGTTGATAGCTCCCACCTGAACGCACTGATATAGTCCGCTACAGCAATCATTGAATCAATGAAAAGAAATGATCAAAACAAAACAATCAATTTTGTTTAAAAAGTAACATTCCTACTAAGCATGTTAATGCTTGGACTGATCCCATGTATTAACAGATAATCCTTTACAAGACCCAAATACATTATTCGTAAGACAACAAACACGCAAACAATTGTAAAACGAGTACACATGTCTAATTTGTGTTGCGGGATTGTATTTGTTAATTAAGGAGGCCTGGGCGATAAATAATTATGATTCACTATGGAATCAGACCTTGTTAAATTAAAAATTTAGTAGGAAAAGCTCAGTGACATTTTAAATAGAATAATATTATTTTTTTATAATAAAGGGGCACTGCCACAGCGCCTGTCACCCTGAGATATAGGTTGACAAGTCATATGTACCTGTAAATTCACCAGCACCCGTACCATCAAAACCGGAATATAACACTGCTGACAGTACTGGTTGGCGGCAGGAATAGGTAAGGTGGCAGTACTACCCTGGGTGAACTCTTTCTCGAGGAAGTGTACTGCTATTAAGTACATTTCTTTCAGCATTATCATTGTCACGGTCAACTATTTATGCATCCCATTACTGAGCATGAATTTTTTTACGATATCAAGCGATGGTACAAACAGGTCGACACGCCTGCCTCAACAGATGCACTGCCATTCAGAGCTTTGAATGTCAATGTCTGAGGGGTACTGCGCCCGTCACCCTGAGACATAAGTTAGCAAAGTGTCTGTAATTCCACCAGCACCCTTGCCCTTCAAAATGTAACGCTAACTTTACTGCTTGGCGGCAGAAATAAGTAGGGGAGCAATACTACCCTGGACGCACTCTTTCACAAGGAACTCTGCCGCTAATTCGAAAAAATAGTTAATTTCCAATTAAAAAAAGCAACAAATTCAAACAAATTATCTTAAAAGTTTTTTTACATTTTCAGGAGATTTCTTCGGAGGTCACGTCCGGGCGGTATTCTCTCTTATAACGGTAATCTTTGTAGCCTGTGTATCAGCCACGGTCACCAGCTTCAAAGAGATCCCGCTGGACGAACTGACGGAGCAGGAGCACTTCAGGAAACTGGCTGAAACCGAACGAGCACAGGAAAATTTTGACGTTGAAGATGGGATGGAACAGAATAACTTGAAGACAGAGAAAGCTACTTACGGATCTTTGAATCAACCTGAGGTATGATTCCATTATTATGGTAACCTATCATAAACTCGATTTTTTTCCGAAATAACGTTTCTTCGAATTTTCATTACACCGAAAACCGAATTATAACGAAAGAGTTATTCTTTCGGGATATGTTGGATGTTTATCACAAAGACATGATTAGGTTCGGTTAAGTTAAGTTTAAAAGAAAAAAACATTTTCCTCTCAAAATTACTTTCGAGTTTATAAAATTTCCAGCAAACGTTATTTCTGAAAATTTCGTTCGTTCGAAATGTCCGAAACAAATTGGTACCGTTAAATAAGTAAAACTCTACCAAATTAAAAGACGCATGATCGAATGAAGCTTCATAGTTGATATTGTTTTTAATTTTTTTGTGTAATCATTTACTGCGTCCAGCGACACCGACGACGTTGCTTGTCTCACGTGTCACGAATTCATTACTCCACAAAGTCTGCCAATATTGTGGAGTATATGCGAGTGAAAGCTAATACTACCTTGAGAGTCGAGCAGTTAGGGTCCCGCCACAATGTGAATTTTAATTCACTTGTAGTGAGAGTGCCAACTCAACATCTGTCGAACTTCATGAAGGATGAGTTTTGGCCGAAGGGTGTCATGTACCGAGGCCGGCTACCGGACACCCACATTGCGTCACATTTAGAATACAATACGTGTAAATAATAATTAGTCATTAGTTTCATTTGAATCATTATCGACCCGTTATTCGTCCAACGGCAGGGCACAGGTTCATTTGAATTGCCTATTTTTTGTAAGTCTATACATACTACACTGCATTTAGAACTATGACTATTAAACATAAAAAAGGAGACATATTTTAACAATGATATTATACTTATTTTAAAGTTTTTCATTTTAATTCAACATAGACAATCAAATCCGCATGTTCTTGTTAAAATGTATATGAATGAAATTTGATTTTGATACTAGTAAATCAAATGTCAAAATAAGAATGACGATGGCAATAACGCAATTAGTAATTGACTTACAAATAAATGGACGACGGGTCTAATACAAACCACGAAAAAAATGTCCCAAGTCAACCTATTCGAAATTTAAATTGTAATGTCATCGCAGTATCGCGCTGTCAGTAGAACAAATGAAGACTAAAGCGGAGTTTGGCGCTCTGTATACGATTTTAGCGCCTTACAAGTGCGGACACTTTTTAGCGCGGACCCGACGTCCATATAATTGTAAGTCAATGCAATTAGTAATCATTCCAACGCCGTCGTAACTTTCACAATTCGGACATTTTTGGCAAAATTTTGCCTTCTTTTACAATCTACCGATAAAACTGTCGATAACAACTAGATGACCGTCTAAAATTTTATGAAAACTGGCAAAAATGACAGACTACCTATAATAATATATCTTAAACCAAGTAAATACAATAAAGTAACAACAAATAGATAGTTAACCTTCCCACACCTGTCTTTCAGAACTTAGACATTAACACACCAAGTGGTCACAACCACCTGTCTCTCCGGCACTACCTTCGCTCCATCGTGGTGATGCCAAGCTCACTAAGGGTTGTCTGCTTAACCAACCTGTTCTGCTGGATGGCTCATGTCTGCTACTCACTTTATTTCACCGACTTCGTAGGTGAAGCTGTGTTTGGAGGTGATCCGGCGGTGCGTATGTAAATAAATATTACTTATAGTAGGTATTTATGTCCATAAAGTGTACAACAGCTATATTGTTAATGGAAGCCGTAAGCCAAGATTTTTATTACTTCAATTATAAAACCACAAACTGGTCTGCTCCGTCGATTTTTTGTAATATACGAAGAATCCAGGTCTAAACAAAGCCTAGGCAAAACTATACATTTGAGAAAGCTATTTTGACCTGTCATAAATAGGCCATTTCAGGCCCAACGTAACACTTATATCTAGAGCTATGGTAACGTATATTACCAACGGCAATCGTATAGCAGAGTGTGCGTAATGTCTCTGCCTAAATAGCGCCTATTCATTACAAATATTGCAACAATAATATTTGCTCTTAATTTTCTTGCAGGCGCCACTCGGCTCTGAGAGTCGCACTGAGTACGAGGCAGGCGTACGCTTCGGATGCTGGGGCATGGCAATGTACTCTCTATCTTGTGCCTGTTATTCTACCATTATTGAGAAACTCATCAACAAACTTGGGTTAGTACTACTTTACTGCTATATAAGTTAAACCCGTTCATGAACAGTAACAGCGTTTACCGTAAAATTAAATGTAAGAGATATAATAATGAGGCATATCCGGTTTCCATATATAGATCTCAATAAATAAGTTTCGGGCTTTACAATGCCATTTCCAGTGCTTTCTGTAGTTGCTGCATACTGCTTCCCCATAGAGAAGTATTAAGTAGCGGTTAGAGTCGAGTAACGTAAATTTTGGTGGTGAGAGTGCCGATCGAACATCTGTCGGCCTACATATATCGGCGATTCCGCGGCCGGTTAACTGACACCAGATCGCGCTACACGTCGCCGACAAGTGCAATACGTGTAGATTAGTTGTTTAGTTTATTTTGTTGTCATATTATATCGTATGTATGTTAGTCCGGTTTATATTATATGGGTCATGTGACCGAAAATAAATTATTAAATAAATAAAAATAAATAAGGTGCTGACAAAAGTCAATGATTTATTTACATTGAACATATTGTATTATATTAATATAAATACTGCGGCACTAAGACGATTAGTCACATTTTTGACGACAATTAAACTAACAAGGACTTTTTCTCTTTCCTTGGGTAATCTTCCTAGGGTACCTTACCGCCGCGGGGTTAGCGTAGAGGTTATGGGCTCATTCCGACTGCAGGCGCAGGCGCGCAGATCTTGGCGTCTTCCCTTTCACAGTGCCGAAGCGGCTACAAGCGGTTTTACCCACATGTCAAAATTACAAACAGACGCTAGACTCTAGATCAAGCACTGTTAAAGGTATGGGCGGCCTGAGCCAATAGACCCGCGCGGCGTGCGCACCCCCACTTCCGTCCGTGCTCGCCTCGAGGCAGGCGCCGGGGCACGCCACCACTGTAAATCTAAATCGTCGAGGGAAGATGACCACAGCCTCATAACTACCAAGGTCTAGCAACAGATGGTCTACAGTCGTCCGAAGCTAACGAACTACTATTTTTATTTAGTTACTTCGGTGGCACAGTGACCCAGAGTGGATCAGCCTCTTCGGCACCAGATTCTGCCACGCCTCCCAGTTCTGAGCCTTTTTTTTGACGGGGGGGAATCTTTATGGATACCCCTGAGCCCAGGGAGACTCAGGAGTTATGTGGGGACTCTCGCTCCAGACTGAAGGGCCTACCCCACTAAAACCCCCCCGGGTTTCCCTCTCGCCGGTTGAGTCGGCGCCGTGGGATCAGTGGACATTCACCACGACGCCGCCCGGCCGCCCTAGCTTACGCCAGGGCTCCCGCGCTAACGGAGGGGCGAGTCGGTTGCGAGAGAGAGGCGCTGCTCATCCCACCGGCTACACACCTCTAGGGTGTGCTGCGCGGTGTCATCCGCAGCACCGCACTCGTGGCACGACGGGGACGGTTCCCTCCTAGCCACCTTGTGCAGGTAGTGACCGAAGCAGCCGTGGCCGGTCAGCACCTGCACAAGGTGGTACGACAGTGGCCCGTGGGACCGGTTTAGTAGAGTAGAGTAGAGTGCTACGAGGACAGGGCGGATCGCCTCTATAGTACGAGCGCCATAGCGGGGATCCGCCAAGCTTTCTTTCCACCGGTCCCGCATGCGCTGCGCCGCGAGGCGGCGCTCCCGCTCCACCTCTTGGGGAGCGGGTCGCTCGCCTCGGTCCCTCATTCCCCGTCGGTAGGTGCGGACCTCCGCCAGGACCTCGGCTTCGAGGTCCCACGGCGGAGTACCGGCGAGGATGCATGCGGCAGCGCAGGCCACCGTCCTGTACGCCCTGCACATTCTCAGGGCTCCCAGTTCTGAGCCTGCTCCTTCGAGTTACTAGTACGAGAGGTCATTCAATCTTTGTGGACTTCACCGCTCCAACGGTATCTAGAATATCCGATTGGTTGGCGTTAATTCGGTCGTCTCAAGTACGTTCTCTTCGCAGCCCGATCCTCTCCCATTCTCTCCACGTGCCCGAGTCAGTGGAGGCGTGTAGCTTTAGTTTCTCCCACAGTATTTCAAGGTTCGTCGTTGTCCTCCAGCTTCCGTTTTCTTTTTTTACGTCATTGACAACTTATTTTCTTCTATCAAGTTCAATATCCAAGCTTCGTAATTGTACATCAATCTTATTTATGCGGATAAAAAACTCGGATCGGATAATAAATAAGTCAAAATTAAGTCAAGTTAATCTCCAAAAAAAAACTTTACAATCATAATGTCAAACATTTTACTTGAAGCGTCAAATATGTCGCTTTGCATCTTTACCTTTTGTACCTTGTAAATTTGTGGATAATAAATAAAAAGAGCATTTAATATGAATGTTCCTGAACGTTAAACTTAACGTTTCTCAATTTCAAATTCAGAAATATTTTACAGATATTGGATAAGGTTTGGATTGGATTGAACAGAATTGGATATGAATTCATCAAATGGATAAAACACTTATCCTTTTCACGGACATGTCTTACTTATTCGTTGGGCAGATTCTCCTGAGAAGAATGAGCATGAAACGCTAGGGGTTATCATAGAAAAGAATAACTTGAAAGAACTAAATGGATCACCATCATGAATTTTTATCGTACATGTACGCAGAAGCTATAAAATTATTAATTCACGATAATTTTAATTCCAAGCGAACGTAACGTATACTGCTCGATCACGATATAACATCCCGTAGGACAGAGTCACTACTCTGCTCGTACATATAAGTATACATTAACTTTGTGAAAACAACTATCAAGAACGGCCATCACTGTTTTTTTTTAAATTGTGACCCTATAAAAAATTAATGACCTTAGCATTAATTTCTTTGTACATACCTCTCAACACGCTTCTGCACGACAAATATTTTATTAATGTTGCCGGCATTACTTCATTAACACTCCAGAGAAACTGTCTTCTATGCTGGAGTATTCAATATAGACGAAAATTACAGGTCTCTGCGGAATAGGAGAACACATAATGTAAGAGGGGTTAGCCTCTGTTAATTCGAGTCTAGCTACGATAGTTACGATAGATAGATATATATAGATAGGTAGTTACGATAATATGCAGTTTATTAAGAGATTAGGTTTGAGAGTTATTCATACAGAAAGTCATAAAAATAATACGAACTATATGAACCAAATTATGTATATGTGAAGTTTCATAACTCTCCTATTTAAGCATAACAAAATATTGAATAATTTCGTTCGTAGAATTTTCAAACGTCTCTCTTCAAAAATTGTCATTTTGTGACCTTATTACACTATGGGTGCGATATATTGTTACATTGCGGTGTCTATGTCGCGTTGTTTTTCCTAGTGCACCATTATTACAATTAAAAAAACTTATTGTCTAGTAGCCTAGTGGGAACTAAGATGAGTTCGATCTTCTATTTACGTACATTTGTTAATGTTTAATAGTAACAGTACAGCTCCTTGTGGAAGAGTTCGTCCAGGGAAGTACTGCCAGCGTACTTATTTCTGCCGCCAAGCAGTAATGTCAGCATTATTGTGTTCCGGTTTTGAAGGATAAGGGTGCTGGTGAAATTACAGGCACATGGGACTTATTAACTTATGTCTCAGGGTGACGGGCGCAGTGGCAGTGCTCCTCAGATCTTTGCGATTTGCTCTGAGTGGCACTGCAACTGTTATGGACAGGCGTGTAGCTTATCATCAGGCGCACGACTTGTTCGTGCCGTCACTGGATATTATTAAAAAAATCTCTCGTTAATGGTTAGGGGAAATCGTTTCTCTCAATCGTTTTTCGTGGTCCACTTCTATTTTTCTACCTTGGAAACGACGGATATGGTCCTAAAGAAACTCTTTTTTTTATTATACGAAGTGACGGGACGAACAAAGGGTGCGGCTGGTGGTATACGATCCGCCTATCCACAACAGTTGCAGTGCCATTCAGAGCGTTAAATCGCAAAGATCTTAAGGACTCTGTGCCCGTCACCCTGAGACATAAGTTGACAAGTCTGTGTGCCTTTGATTTCACCATTTATTTACCCATCCAAACCGGAACGCAGTAATGCTTACATTACTGCTTGGCGACAGAAATAGGTTAGGTGGCAGTACTTCCTTAGACGAATTCTTTCACAAGGAGCTCTACTTCTACAAGTTGGTATGGTGTGGTGTAACCAGCTGGTGGCAATAACTCGACACGTCTTAATGTCTATTTTGAGTGTAGAAAACTCAGTGTTATTCTCGATCGGTGTTATTTCATATTAACCAAGAATCTCAACTTAATAAATAAAACTCGCACCTACGTGTTATTGCACGCCTGGATTAACATACTGAACAAGTATCTTCTTATCAAGCATGCACCATCTCCATCCATGTCATTACTTTCCATAATTCTGTCTTAAATAAACAGAATAATAAATACCAATACCGTACGTAATCAATTTTGCAAAACAGCAAACCGCAAGAGTTATCCATACAAACAATTGTACAGCTTAACCTTCAACTTGACTTTGTAAATGCTTATGGCACGTATATAACAATAGAACTAATAGACTAACACAAGCGTTCCGACCAATGTAACATGATCTCTGTCATCATAACCTTTTGTACTTTTCCTAATTAAAAATCTATATATTTCTTTCTCTATGGCTGATTTAATTAATAATTGGAAAGTAATAAGTGCTTTACACTCATTAAAACGAACCTGATTCACTTTTTATTGAAGCGGAATGACAAGAGCTTTGTTTAGAAACTTGTAGTGTTAATTCATTTTGGTATAAAAATACATCTACTTTTGGGTGATCAAACAAGAGGTATGAATATTGAGTCGTAATACCACCAATTGACGAGACAAACAAGTCGTGTGCCTGGCAGTAAGCAACACGCCTGTCCATAACAGTGGCAGTGCCACTCAGAGTTTTAAGGTGAGGTATTTATATAATATATATATTTAGCCTAGATTTTAAAATAATATGCATAAACTAAGAACAGGGGAGAAAATTTGACAAGTCGTTAAACCGCTGGGCAATTTTCATATTTTGGGATAAATGTAAATTTAATAACTATAGGGCTTCAGTCGAAAACCAAAATTTAACAAATTGTCTGTAGTACTCAAAGTGAAATATCGACTGTGAACTGGCAACCGACACTATCTCAATTTCGACAACTTTACACGATGAAGAAAAAAATTGTTTGCGTCTTTTATGTATGTGTAATAAAAATATTTAAAAACTGCGTATTTTTATTTAATAAATCAGATGCTATATAAATGACGCAAACCATTTTTTTTCTTCGTCGTGTAAAGTTGTCATAATTGAGATAGTGCCGATTGCCAGTTCACAGTCGATATGTCCATATAAAAATTATGTGCAATGTTATATTTTAGCCTGTTATCGGGATTTTATATCATCGGGTAAAAATTAAATCATCCTTAGGTGTATCATATATTAAAGAAAACGTTATTTAATAGTAAATACTTCTCCTCCGGTATCTCGCCTTAAACCGCAAACATCTAAGGGGCACTGTCAAAACGCCCGTCACTCTGAGACTTAACTAGACAAGTCCGATGAGCCCGTAATTTTACAAGCATCCTTACCCTTCAAAACCGAAGTACTGTAATGCTCACATTACCGCTTGGCGGTAGAAATAGGCAAGTAGTTGTAGGACGGACGAACTCTTTCACAAGGAGCTTTACTGTTACCAAAGCAATTACGAAATACATTGTACCCAACCTACCAATCTCGTACAATTAACCAACCAACCAATCTTTATCTGTGACCGACCTATTGGGTATATGACTGTTGGAGGCCATATAGTTATGGTTGTAAGACAGACTGGACTATTGTATTTCCTAGTGGTAATGAGATCACAGGGCCCTTGACTATCCCGAGCACTTAGCTGGCTTCGTCGCTGATTTAAAATCAATAGTATGTGCCTCACCGACATCTGGCCTTTATGTTTCTATTTTTATAGAGTCCTTTATTAGGTGGGGATAAAATGCCACAGAGAAAAGCCCTTTACGCGTAGAAAATAAAAGATAAAATGCCTTTAAAGCACATGATGCTTCTTCATGGAATAAGTATTTCTGAAATAGGTCCTAAGATAGGTCATAATTCAATTGAAATTGGGATATTAAAGAATGGACTTATTCTTCATTCAGACTTTATGTTATATGAAAAGTTACTTTGAAAAAGACTGTGTTTCCACTTCACCATTTACACCATAGAGTTAAGTAACTACCATTTTCAGCTTTACTTAAATAAAGAAGGTTTTTAACCGACTTTAAAAAGGAGCAGGTTCTCAATTCGATTGTATTTTTTGTGTGTACGTTATGCAATGACTTAGATATATATCAACTGATATCGTTAATTCTTTATTTGTTGGAAAGAGGGTACACTTTAGTAGCAGTAGAACTCCTTGTGAAAGAGTTCGTCCAGGGAACTACTGCCACCTTATCTATTTCTGCCGACAAGCAGTTATGTGTGCATTACTGCGTTCCGATTTTGAAGGGTAAGGTTGCTGGTGAAATTACAGGCATACGGAACTTGTCAACTTATGTCTCAGGGTGACGAGCGCAGTGGCAGTGCCCCTCAGATCTTTGCAATTTAAAGCTCTGCGTGATACTGCAATTACACCGCAGTACTGGTGCCATTAAAATTATAAGAAAATATTAGTACATCTGTAAGGGTGTCAAATTAAAAGATGAATCCGGTTTCGATTTCAACAAAATTTGGCTCAATAGACGTAATTCCAATGTAAATAAAATATTATGGTGATCTAGAACTAATCTAATGATGGAAATGGCAGATAAACCTTGTGTTTGAACTCATGATTTGTTTTGACAAGGTATTCAAGGCGTTTCTATTATCGTGAAAGATACGACCCACAAACACAGCGAAAGCAGATTAGCAAACTTTTGAAGTTGGTCTTCCTCCTCTCTCTCTACACCTCTCTGTTTTGCGCCACTGAGATCCAGTCCTTTAGGTGCGCGTCTAGCTCGTCTCTCCATCGACACTTTGGCCTGCTGCATGGTCTAGAAAACGACCACTTTGGGGATCCATTCTGTGGTGACCTTCGCCCACGACTCGTCTGACATGCGGCTGACGTGACTCGCCCAGTCAAATTTTAGTTTATCGGATTGTTGGCCCACATCAATACGATTCGTGTTTTGGAGCGCAGATCACTGTTCCTAATTCGGTCTGACAATTTTACTCCCAAGATGCTGCGCTCCATAGCTCGTTGGCAGACCCCAAGTTTGAACTTTTGCTGCGCTGTTAGTGACCAGGTTTGTGCGCCGGAGGTAAAGATGGGTAGAAAATACACGTCCATGAGTTTTCTTTTGAGCGTGAGTGGTAAGTCGCATTTCATCAGATGTTTCATAGACCAGTAGACCTTCCAAGCGTTTTCAGTGCGTCTTGTGATTTCAGCATGTAGTCTGCTCTGAAAGGACACTAATTGGCCTAAATGCACATACTTAATCCCCCCGTCCCCTACCTATTACTTGTATCTTATATAACAATATCTGTGCAAATATATCACACTCATAGGAGTGATATTAAAGCTTTACAATCAAGGTACAGTTAACTTTTAATAATGTTACACCGCATACTGGCCTCCTTGGATTGTTTTTTTTTCTTTCTTTAATTTATTTTGGTATAAACAGTCTTTACAATATGAATTAGTGCCGAAGAAATGCGAACTATGATAAGGAGCAACGAATAATACCTACACTTAAATATTAACAACATATGCTAAAAGGGCTTAACACATTTTTGAAAATAAAAGCTAATGGTTATAAGTTTGTTTTTATTTATGGGTGTAGCCAAGTTGCTGTTGCACATGCCTATTGCATACATTTTTATGTCAGGAAACTGTCATTTCAAGTTCTCATTCTACTCAGTACTTTATCACATGATAAACGCCTTTTATTATTGTGCAGGTATCGTAGATTGTAGAAAGAACCTTTGCTGTAAAATTTTCGTAGCAGTAAAGCTCCTTATGAAAGAGTACGTCTGATGAAATACTGCCACCTTACCTATTTCTGCCGAGCTGTAACGTGAGGATTTGAAAGGTAAGGGTGCTGGTGAAATTACAGGCACGTGGAACTTGTTAAATTTATGTCAGTGCCTCACAAATCATTGCAATTTAAAGTTCTGAGTGGCACTGCAGCTGCTATGGACTAAAGTGTCGCTTACCACCAGACGCATAACATGTTCGTCCTGTCACTTATCATAAAAAAATATCCGAACCAGTTCGCAGAGGATCGCGTCTCGAACATGTCTTAACAACGTATATTTAATTTACGCCTTCTCATGTATGTAAAAGCCTACACAATTACGAGTACAGTGAAAAGTTATTAATTGAACATCTAATTAGCTTGTTACATTTATTGAATGACGTCGTATAAAATAACTCACAGCGAGCATTAGCTCGCTGTGAGTTACAGTTTTCTTTATTAAAAGAAAAAGGCAGTTTAAATGTACTGAGTCCATTCGAAGTTTCGCAGTTTGTTTTAAGCCGCAGGCAGAAAAATAATGAGAAATAGGCGTATACGTCAACCAAGTTACATGTACCTCCTTTAACAGCCTCCGTTGCCGAACGGTTACCATGGTGGACTGCCACGCAGAGGTCCTGGGTTCGATTCCCGGATTGGGAGAAATGTTTGTATGGCCTACATTTATTTCTTGCGTGAGTTTAAGTGTAATTTGTGGTTGTCTACATATGTGTGTCCATGGCACCCATGATACCGGGATTTCCCTAGTGCGGGGTTTGAGTGTGTGTGTTAAAAAAGAAAAAAGAAAAGAGTAATTGACAATTGACAATGTTTATTTATTAAACTTTAGAAACTATTATAGACTTACTTATTAGTATTATTGTATAGTGCAGTGAAATACAGTACAGTACAGTACAGTATAGATTGCTACCCGGTAGGACCGATATGTCCTCGAGTCAGACCACCTGCTACATGGTCGAACGATATGATCGACTGATGACTGCATGACACTCACACAGGACCGATTAAGCTGCAAAAGCGTGCAAAAGAGGAGGCCTATACCCAGCAATGGGTGTTTACGGGCTGAAGTTGATATAATTATTAAAGAATTTATGCATTTAAGGGAAAATTTTAATCTATACTACTAATGTGAGTCTTATCTAATAGAAAATTTATGTCTTTCATTGCAGGGCGAGGAATGTATACGTCGGTGGCCTATGCACTTACAGTTGCGGCATGTTTCTGCTTTGCATAATCCGCGCTCGAGCAGCCGTCCTGCTGTTCAGCTGGACCGCCGGAGTGATGTACTCGACACTCTTCACCATGCCCTATTTGCTGGTCGCACATTACCACGCCACTGGGATGGTAAAATTATAAATGTTTTATCGTATTATATGATTCTTAGAGGATTCATCGGATTGCAATTTAAAAATCGAAGATAAAATTCATCATCATAATCATCCACTACATGGGGATGGACCCCAGACCACGTCTAGTCTCCCGATGATGGAAAGGATCTACATTTATATGGCCACGTAGTTTTTTTATTGATATCAAGCGACGGGACGAACATGCCGTGCGCCTGATGGTAAGCGACACGCCTGTCCATACCAATTGCAGTGCTACTCAGAGCTTTAAAACACAAAGATCTGAGGGGCATTGCCACTGCGTCCATCACCCTGAGACAAGTTGATAAGTCTCTTGTGCTTGTAATTTCACCAGCACCCTTACCTTTCAAAACCGGAACCTAGCAATGCTCACATTACTGCTTGGCGGCAGAAATAGGTAAGGTGACAGTACTTCCCTGGACGAACTCTTTCACAAGGAACTCTACTGCTACAAAATGGTGGTAAGCGGCACGCCACACTCAGAGCTTAAAAACGCAAGACCTGCGGGATACTGCCACCGCACCCCTCATCCTGAGCCAAAGTTGACAAGTCCCATGTGCCTGTAATTTCACCAGCATGACTGGAGTACGTATTTTTTTTATTTGCGGTTGCATTACCAGAACGATGCAATTACTGTCAAATAACTTCAAAACAGTGATTTATGCTGTGAACATATTTTAGCAACGGAATGGGTCTGGTCCTGTGCTCTCGGTCTCCGTCCGACATCTGTCCGAAACAATTATTGTGAAATAAGTAATACTCGACGAAATTATGAATGATATTATCTTTTAATTCAGGTCCTGTGACCAAAGCCATTTAGTTGCTAAAACATCTTCACATCATAAATCACTGTTTTAAAGTTATTTAACAGTAATTGCCGGTAATGTACAATATACTCTGGTTATGATAACCTATCACAAACTCGAAAATTTTTTGTCCGAAATAACGTTTTTTCGAATTTTCATTACACCGAAAACCGAATTATAACGAGACAGTTGTTCTTTCAGGATATGTTGAATGTTTATCGGAAAGACACGATTAGGTTCGGTTAGGTTAGGTTAAGTTAGGTTTAAAAGAAAAAACATTTTCCTCTCAAAATTACTTTCGAGGTTATGAAAATTCGAGCCAACGTTATTTCTGGAAGATGTCATTTCGGACTACTGACCTATCAGTTTACCTATCAGGTTACCTACCCTCTGGTTATAGTTACATAGTCTTTCTTACTGAGGTAAATTAACTCTTATTACACCGAAACGAACAGTTAAATAAATTATTGTATAGCAGCCCTGACATCGTGTGACTTAAACGCTGTGCTGAAGGTCAATCCTTTACATTTCCGATCGTTCCTTAATTATTAACCTGGAAAGGGTTTCAGAAATGTATACCATTCGGCAATTTACTTTGATTTTCAGATTGATGTTCCATTTAGATAATTATGGCCCAGCTTTGGTAATGCCGCGCAAATATTCAATATAACACGTAGGATAAATTTACATTTCTGCGTAACGGACTGGAAGGGAACTTTTCTAATCTATTTTTTGACTTGTTTTAACGTTACACGTTTGGCGTAAAGTTCATTATGATATGTAAAATTTCTTCCATTCCATTCCCTTCCGCGGCAATGCTGAAAATGTCGACTTCAATACAATACAATACAAATACTCTTTGTTGCGCATAAGAACAAACACGTCATGTGAAACGGTTCTTGGCGTAGCGCCATTTGCAAAGAAATCTATGAAAGTTTGTCGTTAACCCCGAAGAAATTATGCAAGAAGACGTCGGTTCGAATCCGACCGGATCGAAGGATTTTTTTCTGAGTGTTCGATCTTTGTATTAATAATTATAACAAACTAGTGGAGTAATTTCACAAAAAATAATTGAATAACAATTCAATAAAAATTTAATTAATACAGTGAATAGCGACATTTCTCGCCAGGACTGGGTAAAGGTACTAACTGGGTGATAAATCTGTCATAGATTTCTCATAGATGGCGCTACGACTAAAATAAAAGTCGTTGAAAGACCAAGTACAAAGACACGACGCAAGCACATAGAAAAATTCGTGAGGTCCGTTGGTTCGTTCCGTGGTTTAGTTAGTATAGCGTCTGGCACGGTATGCAAGAAGACGTCGGTTCGAATCCGACCGGATCGAAGGAATTTTTTCTGAGTGTTCGATCTTTGTATTAATAATTATAACAAACTAGTGGAGTAATTTCACAAAAAATAATTGAATATCAATTCAATAACAATTTAATTAAATAAAATTAATTAACAGTAAAATCTTAGTAATAAGTAATTAAGAGACCACAAAGCTAGTCAACACTATTGTTGTACTAAGTAGATGCCATGTGTCATGCGGCTGTGGCGTATGTAATGGGATCCACTCAGCTAATGTTATAAAATATATAAAATAACACCAAACTAGTCGAGTATTTTCGCAAAAAATGTGTATATCGTGGTAATGAAATATTCAATAAAATAACAAATATTACAACAGTTGGACTACTCTCTATAATTCGTTAGTATTAAAAACCAAAACTTACTTTTTTTTTCTATTCCTGTAGTTTAATTTATCAATCTTAATTTCATAAACTAATATCATGCAGGCGCTATGTTTATTTCTGAACCAAAACTCTATTGTCTTATGATCACAGACCATATAAATACACTTATGACACTCCCTACTGAACCGAAATTTTGATGAAATTACTGGCACATGTAACTTGACAGTTTTTTTTAAATTAAGTGCGCATTTGACCTGCATCTTATTTCATGTGTGACCATGAGGTCGACGATGGACCATGCATACCCGACTAATGCCTATTCGCTCTCGCATTGAAAAGGACCAAGTTATAACGTTCAGGAGATAAGGCTAGGAACTTCACTCCTGCTGGTGAAATTACAGGTACATGGGAGTTGTCATCAGTTACGGGGTGACGGGTGCTCTGAAGGTCTGAGTGTGGCATGTCGCTTATCGCCATTTTGTAGCAGTAGAGCTAAGAGTTCGTCGAGGGAAATACTGCCACCTTACCTATTTCTGCCGTCAAGCATCAATGTGACCATTACTGCGTTTCGGTTTTGAAAGGAAAGGGTGCTGGTGAAATTACAGGCGCAAGAGACTTATCAACTTGTCTCGGGTGACGAGCGCAGTGGCAGTGCCCCGTAGATCTTTGCGATTTAAAGCTCTGTCTGGCACTGCAACTGTTATGAACAGGGGTGTTGTTATATAATAAAAAAAAACCGAGAAATAGTTCTGTACAACTAGGTATAGTGAGTTTAAAAAAAGAATGTCGTATTTCTGCTAACTAAAAGGGTCTCATAAGGCGAGTTACTGGAGGAGAAGCGGGAAAAGCTGTTTTGCTAGATCAAATGGTTTAAGTATTTACTATTAAATAACGGTATTACAAAAAATATGCGATACACCTAAGAACATTTTTTAAAGAATGTGCTAATTTGTTACACGGTAGGATGTACTTTACTTGGTCATATAAAATCCTGAAAACAGACTAAAATAAAAGTTTAAAACGAAATTAAAACAAAAATCTACCTCTCTTTAAGTTTTTCAGAGACCCTGCTAAATTTTGGATTTCAACTAAAACCATATTAGTTATTAAATTCACATTTATCCCTAAACTTAAAAATTGGCCAACGGTTTAACGACACGCTGACGCCAGCTGCCCCATCAGTCGCCATTGGGCGCTTGTGGACGACTGATCTGTGTCAAATTTTCTCCGCCTAATCTTATTTTATTCATATTGATTGTCGACACATGGTGCGGGACGCGAGAGGCGGTCCGTCCACACCACGCTTTCTAAAATATAGACTCGCATTGAAATACAGGTATTTCAATCGCCTTCAACGCGTCACTGTATTCCTGAATAGAATAACGTTACTATGTTTGTGAAATTATTAAAATTCAAATTATTTTATTAAATAATGCCTCAAAATGTTACATAACAGTTATAGGGTCAAGAGCACGTCAAGCTTGACACTTAAGATTTAAATCCAACTCTGCCGCTTACGGTAACAACGGTCCAAAGTAGAAAATGCCAAGCTTGACGTGCACTTGACTGTACAAAGGCATAAACCATTTGGCAAAAAAGAACTACATATTTAAAAATAATATAAAATATGAAATATGACGCTACTCAAACGCTCTACTGCCTCCTGATTGGTTAAAATATAAGCGATACTAGGCCAATCACGGACATTTCTGTTGTATTTCTTTGGTTTTTTTCTTTGCAGCGTTTCTGTGGCTTACGTTTAAATATTAGTTGAGTTTCTTTATTTTAATTTACTCGGAGAAGAAGTATTGTATGTAATCATTACATAATTAGGTCTTAAAATCTCGTACCTATTACGTATATTACTCGACGAAGCCTCGTGTCCTAAACCCGGTACTCGACTTATGAATCCTCATTATGCAACGATTGTATAAATTGCTATGGGATGGCGTCAGTCTACTGGTTTGGCTCACTGCTGTCCCATTAACATTATACTATTATATATCATATATAAATATGAGGTACAGTGTATACCTGCTCTGTGGTTACCCATTTAAATATTCACGGGGCACTTGCCACGTTTGTTGTCAGCGCCAAACCTCCGCAGGGGCAGCGGCGCCTGATCGCATGTGCATAATATATCCACGTTCAAAGAGATTTGCAAACCTTATAATTGTGTCCATTTCAATTACAGTTGTATGAATATCAAATATTTGCTAAAGTAAATTACTTGCTACGTGTCCATTGTATAAAGTGCTACGGCTTTTATTTTTATTCTTTACTCTTGTTTTCCATATTTATCTCAAAATCTAAAGGAAGATAGCCATTAAACATTACAGAAGTACACGCTGATCCGTTTTAAATTATTTTTTCGCGCATGCTGCGCGAGTTGCGCGACACATGGAAGCGGTGGGCGCTGCATGATGCAACAAAATATTCTTTGTATGAGTTTATTTTATTTATGATACCTACTACAAGTAGTGTACCTGGTGTTAAGCGACACGACTATCCATAGCAGTTACAGTCCACGCAGAGTTTTATATCGCAAAGATTTGACCTGCCACCCTAAGACAGATAAGTTGACAAATGCCATGTGTCTGTAATTTCACCAGCAACCTTACCTTTCAAAATGTACTTGGCTGCAGAAATGGGTAAGATGGCAGTACTTCTCTGGACGAACTCTTTCACATGAACCTCTACTGCTATTAAACTAAATCCACATACATGCATATCTGCTATTATTTATATTGGTCAATTCTAATTCGGATAGATTATATTACGGGTTACGGGAGGTAGTGAATAGGTAATAAAGCCGCTATGACTTGATTAGGACACTACTCCTATTGCATAATAGTACAGCAACTAAGCTCTACTATTGTGAAATAGAGAATCTGACAATTCTTCAGAAACTATTTAAAATCAACCATAATGGATATAGACAACCAACAACAATACTTTATTCAAACAAAACTTTTCAAGTCTATAAAACTATCGCACTATATGTCAACTCAAAACGTGTGATGGCATTGATAGGTTAACAAACAATAAGAAATGCCGCTCGCGAGAATTTATACGTAATGATGTCCTCAATCCATAATATTTACAGTTTTTATTAAAAAGTGATTAAAACAAAGATCGCGAACGGTGAACACGGTGACATTTCTTTGCTTATCTACCTACGTAACACGTCACACACATCGATGTTTGTATAACAATTTACTGTTTTTAATCATATATTTACGAAAAAAATTGCAAATTGTAATACAAATCATTATTATTTCGCAAAAATAGTATTTTAAATATATTTTAGATATTTATCAGATTCTCAATTGAGCCGCGTCGCACAATGCAGCGCTAATGAGTTAACACCTTTATAAAAAGTTTTTAAAGAATTTATTTCATCCTGTTGAAAGCACGTGTAAAAATTAAAGGTTCATTCTAAGCGAATACGGCTTTAAAACAAAGTATTTTACAGTGGGATAACACGGGTGGCGGATGTGGACAGGAGCGCGGCATCGGTACCGACGTAGCCGTGGTCTCGAGCTGTGTCTTCGTAGCCCAGCTCCTTGTTTCCTTCATCATGGGCTTCGCTGTCAAGGCCATGGGCTCAACAGCAGCAGTTGTGGCTGTGGCGGCTCTTTTAGCCTCCTGTGCTGCTTTCACTGCCACTAAGATTACTTACCTTGACTTGTAAAGATTTTGCTCTCTTTTACATTTTAGTTTGATTAGTAACTTTGATATAGTTTTCACTTTATATTCTTTTACGTCTCTGAGCAAAGTTATATTTCTTAATGTAAGAAAGGTAGCAAGGTCTGATGTACAATATTTACATAATTTAAGCAAACGTATCTGCGGTGAAGCCGAATTGAAACGTTAGGGTCGAAACACAAAACTGTGATGCGACGTCGCATCGTAGAAATTTGCGAGCAAATTTGCAATTCGCAGTTTTGTGTTTCGACCCTTATTATCGTTAGACGGCCTCCGTGGTTGAGTGGCTTGCACACCGGTTTTCTTGGTGTCGCCATCTCTGAGGTCCCGGGTCAGTGTAGAAACTAACTTTTCTATATTGTCACAGATCTGGGTGTTTGTGGTGCCGTCGTTGTTTTCGAATTCCATAACACTAGTGCTTTTGCTACTTACTTTGGGATCATAGCAACGTATGTGATGTTCATGATGATGTTGTCTAATATTATTTCGTGTATTACTTGTATGTATTATGGTTAAGGGTCTATACAATCTCCAATGGCGTTGGTTGATTTCGCATATAACAGTGAGTGTTGAATATACACTGATTGCTGTATGGTGTGAAAACGCGATTCCAAATTATTTTCACGATAGAAAAAAAAACCACAAACTTACCTCGATGATTATACATATACATCATGCTTTAAAATTGACTTTCTACTAATTCAAATTAAAGAGAAATAATTTTTTGAAATAGTTTTTCGGCCCCGGTGTAAAGTCCTATTTTACAGGATCGCTTTCCGGCGTCGATATCATCTGAACTAAATAGAACATGTATAATATACGATATACATTTTTCAAATAGCTTTAATTTCATTTTTAAACAAATAAATTCTGAAATAAAGCCAGTGTCCCTGCAGCTCGACCTAAGTAAAATGAACCGTTTTAGTACAGGAAAAACGTGAATTCGAGCTGAATATCGACTCTTAATGTATCGCTTTTGAGCTAAGTTCTGTGTGTGCTTACAATTTAAACAATTTATTGAAATACATTGTCATCGTGGAATAGCGTTAAGCGGGGTACTGCTCCGCCTCTTCAACCGTCGTTATGAAAAGTTCTAACGCTATAATCTGAAAATTACGGTACAATAAGCAGAATCGTGAATCTCTATAAGTATTGGGTTGAACAAAAAGTCTGTGCGGTATCAAAGTATAAATGTAAAACATTTAACTTTAAACTATTACGTATTGCCCATAATACTGGTCTATAAACATTTTTGTAATTTTAGAATTCTTTCCTTTCTTGAAAATTCCTATCTTTACTTATAAAATTTAACTGTAAGTGTCACTTGATGGCCTTGTCGTTATGAAAGTCGAATCCATTCAAAGAATATTGTAAAGACCGAAACAAGTCAAGAGGCTATGTCGGGCGAATATTTTGAATCCATTCCAATCTAACTGCAATAGTTATTGACGGCTTTATAAAGATGTATGTGGTTTAGCGTTCAGCGGTACCGACGACGTTGTTATACGTGTCACTGGTTCATTAGGTACTCCATAATATCCGCAGACTTTGTTATATACGGGTGAAAGCCAATGCCACTCTGAGGTTCCAGCCCGTTAGGATCCCGCCACAATCTGAATTTTAATTCGTTTGTAGTGAGATTACCAGCTCAACATCTGTCGAAATGTTATTCATTTTGTATGACAAATCTTTTTGGATTTGACCAACCGATTTTTTTCTTACAATACAATAAAATGATCTTTGTATAAAATTAAGTCTATTAACATTGAAAAAAATTTAGTCAATTTTATTCATTTTGTACGGAAAACAGTTGACTAAA